GATTCCCTTTCACGCGCCGCTTTTCAATCAGCAGGAGAGAAAATACTGGGGAAAGATTGCAGCATCAAGTTTCTATCCTAATTGCCTACAAACTGTGGTACACTCCTGATAAATCTTGCAGTCAATAAACTACAGATAATTCAAAAAGCCACAATAGACTCAACCCCTCCTACAGCTGCACTATTATCCCAGCTTTTATTTAGACCTAAAAGCAGCAATTTTTGAGCTCTTGTCTGAAATTCTGCAGAGATGTAAAACTACCTCCACAAAACATAAAAATCCCCACAGAAAACAGCAGAGTTACATTCTTTTTCTCAAAACAAATGTACAATATGAATCCAATATGTACCCAATTCACACATATCCATAAGTGTAGAATAATTAAACAGAATCATATACATCTCATCTCCAGACCTTCATTACACCAGTTTAGTTTAATTCTTTATCCAGTTGACTAAACTAGATGGGAACATATAACTATAGTTAGCTGATCTTGAAATGCTAAGCAGGACCAGACCTCTTCCCTGTTTATATGGGAAAAAACCAAATCGCAGAATTGTTAACTGAATGGCGAGTAAAAATAAAATAAAATTGTAGAACATGGCACTAAGAAATCACTTGTGTTGTTACCAAAAGAACTCTCTGCACGAATGAAGATACAACCTTTGTTCTTGACTTGCAAATAATGCATTTTATAGAAGATAAACATAAGCCTAAAAATAAGTACCAGAACAAAACAAAAAAATGCCACCACTCCTTTCTTTGGCCAGAGGACTAGTGTGTCACCTTTCTATCTGGGACTCTCAGATGGTGTTTAGCTTCCTTTGGCAAAGCCACTTAAGCCAAGAATCATTATCTAAGTTTGTTTGCTTGTACACTGTCTTTCTCACAAACATGTAGTTATTTCTATTTTTCATCTCTGATACAATATTCAAATAACAGTATCTAATACTATTAAATAGAAATGCAACTCACATGCTCTGAGGATTTCTGAGCTCCATCTCAATTGAATAAAAATAAAGGAAGTTTTGTCTTCCCGATGATAGCAATTAAATCGCTTTCTTACAGACAGCCACAAACTTATTGATAAAACTGTATTTGGAGCTTGGTCCTGAACAGAAGCCTTGTCTCTACTTTTCCTCTATCCCTCTTTGCTCAATCTTCTTGGGAGAATTTGCTGCTCTTTCTCAAGCTCATTTTCAACAAACAATGGCTCAGGAAACTTGCTACAAAAAGGTTTATACTGTATATTTTTGCTTCCTGTCTAGTTCTGAATCTCCTGGCCTTTTGAGGCTTTTCTGCTGAGCCTGTATCTAATTCCACAATTACCTGCGCAGCAGAAGTTTTAGTGAAAGAGAAGCAGAAACAGATTTTATTGCCATCTTGGTGTCCCCTCTAGCAAATAATGTAAAATAGCTATTAATATAATATCCTTTTTCACTAATTATGAGAAAAGACTTTCACCAGGGTTTATGTACACAGAAGTCCTTACGAACTAGCCAATTTAAGGAGTTAGATTCCTTTTTTTAAAAAAAAACAACTTCAGGTTAATAGGATTTTTCAGTGCCCTCTGCTGTTACCACTCGCTCAGCTTTCAATTTACTCTATAATACTGTCAGGTTGAAGCTTTGGCTGGCAGCTTCCCAGCCTCTTTCTCATGTGGATTGGAGCAGCAGTCTGCAAATATGTGGAAGTTTAATGCAATCTGTCTTCTCTGGTAATCACATTCCTTCTGCGCTATGTGCTATAAAGATGTATTGGTAAATGTATTTGCTAAAAATATACTTTCCCCCTGCTTCTGCCCACCCCATACAAGCCTGATTTACAGGAGGCAGGAGGAAAGACTTGCATCTACAGAAGTTTGGCAAGGGACAAGGCAAGTTCCATAGAGAGCTGCTTCCAGAAAACAACTGTGCAGTGGCAATTCAGGACTTGCCATGTTTTAATGCAAAATCGGGGGAGGAATCACACATTTTGCAAGCTGGAGATCTCAAAAGGTACCAGAGAAAAGCCTTTTCCCTGGTAGCTTTAACCTTGCTGATTTGCAGATATATAAAGATCTTCCTGGTAAACAGGAAAGGAAAAATCCACCAGGACTTGCAACAACATTTGAGCTAATATATTTTGACAATTTTCTCATCTCCTTCTGACAAAGCTTCTTCTGGGAGCTGGCTGGCAGTTTGTTTCATGTTATACTTAAATCAGACACAGGGCTTCTTCTTCACAATATTAATAGAAATGAAAAGGCCTCTCTTCTCGTACCCTCCCCTTTTCACATGAAAATGCATCCCCAATGAAATCACCTCAGCCGCGAAGCCTTGCCTGCAAGCACATGTCCCTCATTTGTAAATCAGAAGCCCCGTGATCCATGACAGACGCAGAGGAAATGCTTGGTCAGCCGAGTATCCCATACTAAATGCAGTGATGCTTCTTTTGCACATAGGAATGTTCACAGAATATTTTTTTAAATCCTTCATAAATCCTGGATTACTGTAATGTTTATAAGGAGATATATTCTATGATCCCAGCCTGTGCATTAAAAAGTCTTCAGAATAAGGTCAATTTCAGGCTAATTCATTGCAGCTTTTTATTCAGGTTACTAAATTGATTTTGGAGAAAATGAGTGGAGATTGTCTTAGCTACAACATGACCCAAGATGCTAGATTCCACAGGGTCATGTGCTCTCCTAATATAAGAGGCATATCTTTTGTAACACATACATTTTGATCTGCACGTCTTTCTTATGTAAATGCAAATCAAAAGGCTTACTTTGTGATTTATTTATATAAGCAGTGTAAAGACGCAGAAGAAATGCTTGATCAGCCAAGTATCCCATACTAAATGCAGTGATGCTTCTTTTGCACATAGGAAATTTCACAGGATATTTGAAATGCTTCATAAATCCTGGATTACTGTAGTGTTTATAAGGAGATATATTCTATGATCTGAATAGTCTTATCCATATAGTGCGAAATGTATGCCTTTTCGGTTTTAGGAAAAAAAAAATCTGATATGATCTTTAAAGAATATGGTTTCCAAGATGATGATGATGATGATGATGATGATGATGATGATGATGATGATGATAATAATAATAATAATAATAATAATAATAATAATAATAATAATAATAATAATAATAATAATATCATCATCATCATCATCATCATCATTTTCCAGTGTTGGAGCATTCACAGCTTCTGGAGGCAGGTTGTTCCACTGATTAATTGTTCTCAATGACAGAAAATTTCTCCTTAGTTCTAGGTTGCTTCTCTCCTTGGTTAGTTTCCATCCGTTGCTTCTTGTCCTGCCTTCAGGTGCTTTGGAGAATAGCTTCACTCCCTCTTCTTTGTGGCAGCCCCTGAGATATTGGAATACTGCTATCGTGTCATCCCTCATCCTTCTCTTCATTAAACTAGACATACCCAATTCCAGAAACCGTTCCTTATATGTTTTAGCCTTCAGTCCCCCGATCATCTTTGTTGCTCTTCTCTGTACTCTTTAAAGTACTACTATTTAAGTAGTACTCTGTACTAGTAAAGTTATTGAACAAAAATAACTGTTTAAATTTTTATTCTCACAGGTCCCTTCATGCTGTAAGTTAAGCCATTTGAGTTACCCTGGTTGAAAAAGGTTTGACGTTAATGTACCATTTTGTCTAGTTAAAGGTTACCAACCTGACAGTTTTAGTAACATATCAATCTTTTGATAATCTATTAGACAAAGTTTCATTTAAACTGGTAATAGTATTGATAAAATTAAATAATATTGATAAAAGATGGTAAAACAAAATTGATAAAATAGGTTTTTTTTATATTATCATAATACTAGGGAAATAGGATTTAGATATATAAATTGAAGAGAAAGACTTAGGAAACAACAAGTTAAGAAAAACAAAGAAATACTGGGTGACTTTAGGAAATTGAAAATAATCTACTGGTAATATTTTAGATTTATTAAAACAATTGGAAGATAAATCTATCACTCATCTAAATTATGATAAAGTTGTGACAAGATGAAAATATAATTGCATATAGTAGCTGTATTTGAAGTATCTACTCTGGCTTGACTGAAATGCTTGGAACAATTTATAATATACTATGTAACCCAGAGGCCCCAACCTTTTGGGCACCAGGGACTGGTTCCATGGAGAGCGTTTTTTCCGCACACTGGAGAGGATGTGGTTTTGCATGCTCCTTGCATCCCACAGATGGGGTTTCGCTAGTTTGCATGGCCTGGTTTCTGGCACGTCATGGACCAGTGCCAGTCCACAGACAGGGGTTGGGGACCCCTGATGTAACCCACCTCTGGCTCTATTTAATTATATGAGTGGTCAAATTCTCTATAAGTTTTAATCACTTAAATATGAAATCATACAGTATTGGGAAACTGATTCAAAGTTATGTCTTAATAATTGGTCTATTTAAAGCTAATGCAAGATAAAAACCAAAATAAACAAACAATGCTAGATCCCACTGGAAAAAAAATGGAAAACTGTACATCATCTTGAGACAAAGGACAAAAGAAGAATTTAGACATTTATACAGAAATCAAGGACAAGAGGGATCATTAATATGGGAAAATATGTAAATTCATCAAAGCTGAACTTATAAAATGAAAATTTAGAACTGATTTTGAATTCTGATGCAAATTCAAAACTGAATGTAAACCTTACTAATGAGTTTACTAAGGCAAATCCCTTAATTTCCCCAACCTTTTTCCCTCTAACCTTTCCCCATGTGCTGAACTTCAATATTCTGCTAAAGATTGCATGTGCTGTCTGAACGATTAATAAAATAAGCTTGTTACTATTAGTTTTTGTTACCTTCATACATGAATGTAGCTTTTTTCACAATATGTGAACTGGCTCTTCATCAGTACCTGGAGGAGCAAAAAATCTGGAGAGAGGCAAAGTCTTCTGACTGGCATGTTCCTTTACAAGATAAGAGCAGTAATCAGGAAATTTCCTTGACGTAAAGCAGAAATAAAATTATAGATACCTTTTGTGCTAGCCTAACACAACGCTGATACTCCTTGACTAGCTCTGAGCAGTTTAGCACTTGCTGCTTATTTTCATTGTAGCACATCATAATGGCTTCCTGCAGGTTTGCACATATAGGTTGTGTATTCCTCCGCCTGTAAAGACAAAGGGAAATTAAAACAGCATTTTCTGACTGACAGGCTTCTCATTTGTTTCATCACTGCTACCCAATAAGGCCCTACAATGCTTTGACTTTGAATGGAAAGGGTGTTTCTGCGCACACTTATGAGCAACTCTTTAAAGCAACTGCATATTTTCCCAGGGCTGTGTGGATGTCCTTCACAGCTTTACCAACTGTTACAGCATCTATTATTATTTTTAATTGTAAAATTTTCCATTGGATGATACAAGTATGCCGTAAAGCACTTTTTTTCTTTGACCCACAGTAATGCACAGCCCTGTTACACAGAATCTGGTGCTGATAATGACAGATGCATTGGTTTAAGTCCGCTAATGCCATCTTCCTTCTTTCGAATCCATAAGAAATCGTTCAGCTTAGCCAAAGCTGGTAGTAGTTCCTGGTTTCAGATTTGAATGGATTGTGAGACCAGCAGAAGGATACAAACCAAGAGCCTCCTTTATTTGAGAGCCAAATAAAAATTGAACAGTTGTCTAACCTCTTCCCAAAAAAGCTTTATTAGAAGGTGCCTTAAGAGGAAGCTTTTATCATCCAATCATCACAGCTCATTAGCGGAATTTTATTGGGAATCCAGATGCTATCTTCCATTTGTAACTTTTTCATGTGAATCTGTTCATTGCCTTCTTTTTACCCACACATACTCCTATTAAAGAGAAAGCAACAGAATAGCAATATAGTGCTTTTTTAAATAGTAGAACAGATAGTCCTTAATTTACAATCACAATGGAGTCCGGAATTTTAGTCGTACGTCATTGTGATCATAATGTATACAATCACATGCCTGAACTCAATTTTATGACTGTTATGATGATCATAGAGTGAGTCATTATTGTAAAGCAAATCATGTGATTGTTAAGCAAACCACCTGGTCATTAGGCAAATCCAGGTTATTCTATGAGAGTTTTTTGCCATTTTCTGCCAGAAAACATTAAAAAAATATATGATCATATGACTGTGGAATGCACCAAAATGCAATCAGGTGACCATGGGGGCGGGGGGGAGCAGTCGTAACTTTGAGAATGAGTCATAAGTAGCTTTTTAAAAAGTCTGTTGTAACTTTAAACGGTCTTTATACATAGAACTTAGGATAACAGGGTTAGAAGAGGCCTTGGAGGTCTTCTAGTCCAACCCCTCTGGAGCAGGAGATAAATGGTTGCAAATCTCTTCTTGAAAACTTCCAGTTCCCACAATTTCTGGTGGCAAGCAATTCCAGTGATTAATTGTTCTCACTGTCAGAAAATTTCTCCTTCCACCCATTACTTCTTGCCTGCCCTCAGGTTCTTTGGACTCTTCTTCTCTTTGGATTCTTCAAATAGTAGAAGACTGCTATCGTGTCATCCCTAGTCCTCATCTTTGTTAGACTAGACATACCTAGTTACCTCAACTATTCATCATACAATTTAGCCTCCAGACCCTTGTCATCTTTATTGCTCTTCTCTGTACTTTTTCTAGGGTTTCAGCATCTTTTTTCTATCGTGGTGATCAGAACTAGATGCAGTATTCCAAGTATGGTCTCACTACTACAGTATAAAATGGCACTATCACTTCTCATGATCTTGATACTATCCCTCTGTTGATGCAGTATAGGACTGCATTGTTTTTTTTGGCAACTGCAGCATGGGTGGTCCACTAGGACATCTAAATCTGTCTCACGATTACTACAATAAATATAATAAGTTGAGGAATACCATTACTGAGCCTTCCAGCAAAATACTTCTAGGATATTCTTTCATTTTCAGTTCTAATCCACACAGAGAATGAAGAACAAGACACTGGCATTAATCAGTGAGCGCCTACTACAGTATACTTTCCAGAAATCAATATTAATAACAATACAATTATAACAGACTTGTCCATACTTCTCACATTCATTGGAAAATCCTAGATACAAATTACAAAGACTTAATGGAGCTCAGTATTTCAGAGACATAAAATTCCATGAAATATTTCCCAAAAGTTTAGAACAGGAAAAACCTAATAGGAGGCTTCAAAAACTCATAAGTTTGGCATTTTGTTCTGTCACTGCAATTTTAATGTCTTTGTAATCATCAGAAAGAACATCTTGGAAATAATATCAAACAGAATTAAGTCAGGAAATGCCATAATATCCCTCGATTCATTGGTAAGGTAAGACTCTTAAAATTAGATTTTAACACTGAAAGTTTATTTTAAAAACCTATGAGAATATATTATAATTTCAAGAGAGGCAAAAATGGGGTATTTTCAAATGGGGTCACTGATATTTCTCCTATTCTATACCTATCTTGACTGCATAGTAGTTTAATTTTTTATTCATGTTTTTATTCCTTGCTTGAGTTTCATAAACACTTTAGCCAACTGGAGTAAAAAAATGTTTCCATCTTTCCTCTTAGAGCTTCTTTACTCAAAAGTATCAGTAAAAACTCATGTTCTGCTGGGTTTTAATCTAGTATTTAGGTCAAATGACTATAGTAGTCAGAATGGCTATTTAATCAACTTTATCTGTTTAGGCAATTTTGATGTTTTGTAGAAAACAGAGATTCTGCTTTTTATATCAATGTCTAAATCTTACTGCTACAATATGCACTATTGAATAAATCATGGATTGTGATGAAAATCGTGTACCTGTGTGTGTGTGTGTATTTGCCTGTGCCTGTGTAACTATGCAGAATTATCTTGAGCTATTTGAAAGAAAAATAGCTACGTAAGCAAAGACCTTCCTTCCTTCCTCTGGCGGATCCCTCCTTTAGTGAACATTTTCAGTCAGTCCAATTTTGATTTCTTCATCAAAATTAATGTCATAACATTATGCACAAAAAGTAGTAGAGGCAACCTATGTGTCAACTTTTGCCACTTTTCAAATTGCTTCTTTGTTATCCAAGGACTTCATTCCTCAGCTTTATAAGTGTTATCCTCATCTTCAATTTTTCCCTCATCTGCTAAATCATTATCCATTATATCTTGGCATAGAAAAAGAAAAATGAACCAGAGTGGTATATTGGACAAAACTTAGGTTCAAAGACTTTCTCAGCAATGCATGTCAATGAATCATTTCACATCCCTTCTCCTCATAGGGTTTTTGTAAGATAACCCATACATGCCACATGAATTTCTTTGGCAAAGACATTGGAGGCAGACAGTAAAAAGTATAAAGAGTGCTTCCAGTTGAGGCATTCATTTTGCAATCACTCTGTCTCATTTATGGGAAATGCATAAGTAATCCTGATGATGTCTTCTCCCATTTGCAACCCTTCTTTGTTTTCCCATGGCTATGTCCCTTTCTTTCCACAGAAAATCCATTAAGAGAAAAAGTTGGAACCATCCTACGAATGAAAGCATCCTAGAAATTTATTTATTTTATTAATTTCTTTATTTATTATCTTTATTTATAAGGCCACACATCTCACACAAAGCATCTCTGGGTGACCTACAACAATTAAATAAAACAACAAATGGATTTTAAAAAATCTATTTTTTTACACAGAGAGAGCATGAAAGAGAGCATGAAGATTTCATAGAGAGAGCATGAAGATCAATCACAATGGAGCCATCTAAGAATGTTCCCTGTACCCAAAGATCCCCAAGCCCGAAGACATAGCCCGATCTTCCTAAACAATAGCAGAGAAGAAAGAAACTTAACTGCAGGGGGCAGAATGTGCCAGAAGGAAGGCAGTACAGCAGAAAAGGCCTACCTCCTGGGACCCACCAGATGCATGTCCCTGGCTGATGGAACCTGTCACATGGCTTCCCTGCTAAATCTAATGGGACAGGATGATGTAATTGGGGTGAGGTAGTCCTGCAACTAATCAGGTTATGTTTTAACACCACACATTCTTGTTCCTTAACTGCCCCTTGAGATCACCACTTGAAGCAAATGATACCCCAAGAGTTACCGAATTTGAAATCCCCTCTTCCTTTTCATGTAGTCATTTTATTTAATAAAGGGAATCTCACCAACTTATCCTTCTTCTATTATCATTGCTGACATAAATCTGATAATATTGCTTGGCTTGGCATCATGCTATTATATGTTCTCTTGATGATAATAACAATAACAACAACATCCCGGACTTAACAATTGTCAATAAGAAAGACAAAAAAGTCTTGATGGTGGATGTGGCAGTGCCTGGAGACAGCAGAATAGAAGAGAAAGAACCGTAGAAGTTAACAAAATACAAATAATAATAATAATAATAATAATAATAATAATAGTAGTAGTAGTAGTAGTAGTAGTAGTAGTAGTAGTAGTAGTAGTAGTAGTAGTAGTAGTAGAGTTGGAAGGGACCTTGGAGGTCTTCTAATCCAACCCGCTGCTCAGGCAGGAAACCCTATACCATTTCAGACAAATGGCTGTCCACTTTCTTCTTAAAAACTTCCAGTATTGGAGCATTCACAACTTCTGGAGGCAAGTTGTTCCACTGATTAATTGTTCTAACTGTCAGGAAATTTCTCCTTAGTTCCAGGTTGCTTCTCTCTTTGACTAGTTTCATCCATTGCTTCTTGTCCTGGCCTCAGATGCTTTGGAGAATAGCTTGACTCCCTCTTCTTTGTGGCAGCCCCTGAGATATTGGAACATTGCTATCATGTCACTCCTCATCCTTCTCTTCATTAAACTAGACCACTGATGGTGAACCTTTTAGGGACCGAGTGTCCAAACTGCAACCCAAAACCCACTTATGCATCATCGGGTGCCAGGTGGGTTTGGCCCATTGGGTGGGTGTGGCCCATTGGGTGGGCGTGGCTACGGTGGTAACAGCAGACTGGGTGGGACTAAAAAGTTCAATCAATCAATTCCAACTTTGCAAGATCTTTTTTTTCCTGCGAGAAATTGAAATTGACTGATTGATTGAACCTTTTTTTTTGTACACGGCGGCACAGGCCTAAAGCGAAAAGGTTTTATAAAACCCAGCTGAAGGCCTAGGATTGGGGCGATGGCATGTGTGCCCACAGAGAGGGCTCTGAGTGCCGCCTCTGGCA